ATGTCGTCCAGATAAGCCAGGGTGAAATTGTGAAGGTGTCCCGTGAGCACCTCTTGGGCGATCAGCTTCTGGAACATGGATGGGGCATTCTTGAGTCCGAACGGCATGACTCTGAACTGGTAGCTGGCACCGTCGGTCGTGGAGAATGCCGTGAGGGGCCGACTCTCGTCCGTCAGGGGAATCTGCCAGTAGCCAGACTTGAGGTCCAGGGTGCTGAAGATCCGGGCTTGGCCCAGATGCTTAAGCGTCTGTTGAATGTTTGGGAGCGGGGTGGCTTCACTAACGTTCTGGGAGTTTAACCGCCGGAAATCGATGCAGAACCGGGGCGTACCGTCTTTCTTCTTGACGACCACAATTAGGCTGGCGTACTCGGAACTACTGGGTTCGATGATGCCTTTTCTCAGCATCTCTTGTATCTGCTGCTGGATCGCCTGCTGTTTCTGGGCCGATTGTCGGTATGGGGCGATCCGGAAAGGGCGGTGTTCCTTCAGGCGGATATGGTGTTTGGTGGTGGGCGTAGTGGTTGGCGCAGAGGTGTCGAAGACGTCCCGGAATTCCTCGAGCAGGTCCTTGTAGACGGCCTGGGCTCCCGTCGGGATGGCGTTCATTTCTACCTCGACCGGGGCGGCCGTTGGTGAGGGTGGCGGAGCCTTCCAATATACCGTCTTCCGTTGTTTCTGTCCGAAGTGTAGGCAACGGCGTTGGAAGTCCAGGGTGACCTGGTTCGTCTGGAGCCAGGGAAGGCCTAGAATAGCGGCCTCGTGTAAGTCCGGGCTTACGAAGAACGTTTCCACCGCTTGTTCTTGAGCGATGGTCACTTCGAGGCGTGATGGTCCGTACACGTGTGCCGCTTCGTTCGTGTTGGTGGCGAGGGTGATAGGCTTGGCCTGTTTGTGTTCGGAGCGTTGGGGTTGCCGCACGAGGTTGAGGGAGGACCCGCTATCAATCAGGGCGTACACTCGAGCTCCGTCGATGATGGCGTCGATCCGGGGTAGTTCCGTGAAGCCCCCGATGGAGTTGATGTGAGGACGGTTGTATTCTGAACGGGCCGGGAAATAACCCCGGCTCCAACCTCGTTTCCCGAAGGTCCCGTAGATAGTCGGTTCACTGCGGCTGCTCGTGTTCCTGGATTCGGTGCACGTCTGGGGGCGGCCGCTCTCGGGGTGTCTCTTTCCAAGCGCCGCACCTCCTGCACCACTGGTCGTTCCGGACAGTCCCGGTTGTGGTGTCTCCCGGGACAGAAATGGCAGGGCGGCAAGGGTTTGATGGTGGTCGTCGGCGGATTGGCACTGGAACTCCTGGGGATCGGGTGCGCCGGGACGGTCGATCCTAACCTGTTCTCCAGGCGTAAGTTGAGGAAAGCGGCGAAGGTTACGGGTGCGGCGGTTTCAATGTAGGCGGCCAGTTCTTTAGGAACCAAATCCAGGCAATGAGCCACGAGTTGCGGCACCGGAGTGTAGCGCTGCCCTGACGGTGGTCGTGCGCGTTTCGGCGTGGCTGGGAGCGGTGACAGCGGAGCGGGCAGCGGCGAGACCGCAGGCAACGGAGGAAGTCGCGGTGACGGCGGCTTCCGGGGATCCTCGGGCACCCTGGATGGCTGACGGGGTTCGGGAAGCGGGGCGTAAGTATCCCGGAGCTCCTGGAAAACCTGGGCCAGTTGTTGGGGCGACAATGCGTGGGGCGGTCCCTGGATGCGTCCTTGGTGACGGTCTCTCCGTTGTCTCCAGCGGCGGGTAGATGCTCCTCGACGATGGCGTGGCATTCGTACAGTGTGTCCTGGTAATAATTGTAGATATACCTGTCTACACCCGGTGATAGCTGGTCGAGCGATGCGTCGTGGCCCTGGCTAAAAGGGTAGCCGAAAGTTGTCGTAGCAAACCCTCGTGGCTAAGAGAGTAGCCGTCGAGGAATAGTGGCTAAGGCGTAGCCGACTAGGGGTACCGGTAGCTAAGGCGCCGCTTATATCCACCAGCGCGGCGAATTGGCTCCGCCTACTCCCTCCACCGAGCAGCGGTCGCGCGCTGTCATTGGCTCGCACGATCGACGCGCTGCTACTATACATACTGGTGGTGGTGGAGTAGGCTCGGTTTCGGCGGCTGGCGGTCGACGGGTGAACATCGCTCTCGTCTCGGAAGGCGGAAGGGCGGCGGCGGTAACACACTGTCGGAAATGACCTTGGTCGCGCTAGGGGCTGGTGTTGGTTCGGATTGCTTGGCGTCGTTATGCGGAGGTACGGGTGAAGACTCCATGTCTTCGGTCATTGTCGTAGGGGCTGCAGCGGTGGAGTGTAAACGAATGAATTCGTTTACTGTGGCGAGTTTGGCCTGAAGGTCTCTGGCCAGGGCAAGGGCGTCCGCAAGGGAAAATCCCTCCAAAAGTGCGGAGCTCTTGGGGGTAGCCATGTTGAAAATGGCTAGCTAATTTGATGGTATGGGTCTTCGCACGATCAGGAAAATAGGTATAAAATAGAGGAAAATATATATTGTCTTAAAAAAGGTTTGTTGCGTTAGTGAGTAGGGTACGTTGTAGTTCAAAGGGACATTGCGTACTCCGTCCCAGAGAACTGTAGGTTAATTGAAATATAATAAAAAAAAGCTCTTACCTATTACAGCGGGGCTGAATATAATGGTGGCCTTGAGTAGTTGATTGTCCAGTAACGGACAGTTTTGTTGAACGCCTGGTTCGGTGGANTTTGTATTATCAATGTCTCTCGATAATGACAACTCTGCCCAAAATTTGTCAGGTTCTGTATTCTTGAGATGATCAGGCAATTTCATCATCGGTAATTTTCGCCACTGGTCATAAATCAATTGATAAGTCTGAAAATCGTCAGGATTTATAATTTGAGGTCGTAAAATTTTGTGAATTTTAGCATCACAAAGTTCCTGAAATTCTTGATATTGAGCAATCCTTTTCGATGAATTCTTGAAAAATGAGTGGACTTTACGAGCAAAATCTTCAATGTAGCGCGGGATTTTTTCGCAAGCTTCACTCGCGACGAGATGTAAACTGTGACAGATACATTTTTGTAATGTTATGCCAGGCAACGATTCTTCAAACTTTTGTGCTACAGAGTTATTACTGCCAAACATCACATTACAACTATCACTCGCAAACCCTATTATATTAGTCATTGGCACATTAGCTTTAGTAAAACTCTCTTGAATAGCTCCGAATATGCGTCTCGCTGTGACCCCTTAATTTGCTTCATCAACCTTATCACCAGAAAAAAATTGTACGAAGTTCCAGAATCGAGTCACAATACTTTGATTTTTTCTCAATAAAATCTAACACAAATACACAGAAAAGCTCTTACCTATTACAGCGGGGCTGAATATAATGGTGGCCTTGAGTAGTTGATTGTCCAGTAACGGACAGTTTTGTTGAACGCCTGGTTCGGTGATGTCAATCGGTGCGGTGCAGGTGATGTCAATCGGTGCGGTGCAGGATATGTTCGTACAACGAAGGTCGAGGGCAGAGTGTTGACTTGTCTTCAATATATTCGATATTTATAACTATTTACAACTGTGGGGTTGGTGGGACGTGGGTACAAGGTAAAAACATCGTCTTGGGGTGAACAAACGGTCATGTACCGCAGTACCTGCTCTGGTCGGCACAAACATTTAGGGTAATAACCATAACTTACTGTTGTAATATTCCAAGAAAAGTAAATTTGGAAGTGCAAGTATTGACATCTTCTAACAATGCGTTGAAAATAACAAATTAAAACTACCCTAGCTAACTTGGATACAAACAGTTATAATGTATGATTACTGGTGGAATTCTAGGTCCGTCCGTTGATTCGCTTTGTAGAACTTCGATACTATTAGAGGTTGTTATCTTCGTAGCTGTTCTTTGGTCGTAGGTCAGTTTTCTCGTCTTCTTCGTGATTTCAAAACCCTCGTCTATTTCCATGGTGTTGATAAGTCTTAAGAAAGACTATTTTGAGTATCAAGTGGTTGCTGTCGACCGCTGCTGTAGTTGATAATGCTGTCTTCCTGTTCTTGTTCAGACCGGGAGTGACCAACGATAGATTTCCTTTTCCTTTTTTTTTTTCTTCCCAACTTTAATATTTTTGAGCTCTGGGAGATATACAAATATGTTCTGCACGTCTCTCATTTGATGGATTTCGTCTTTGGTTGGGTTGTTTTCCTTCTGTGTTATATCAGGATTTCAGTTTTTTTCTCTAAAACATTGTTATTCGTGTTCTTGAGTCTTTTAATCATTTCGTGTCTTCTTTTTTCCGCTACCTCCAGTGTATTCTTCAGTTTCGTTTCCTTCTGAATATCTATGTTTCGACAGTACCATGACGCGTCGATCGCCTTCCTCACCAATTCGTTGAAGACTGTCACTGCCCGTGATTTAGTTTTTCCGGATCTTTGGATCCAGATTTCTTGACCGTATAATGCCATTGGAAGTAGCACTGTCTGTAGTATTCTTTTTCGGTTTCTGTTGTTGAGTTGGCTGTCATGCTTGGTAATGGCGTAGAGTGCTTTGCTCCGTTTAAACGTTTGTGGTGCTCTTCTATTTATATGTCTTAGGAAGTTTAGTTTCCAATCCAACGTTACTCCTGGGTAAGTCACTTGGTTTTTGATTTTGATTGATTTGTTGTTGAACTTTACGTAGTTTCTAAGCGGATTTTTGTTGTGGAAGCATATGACTTCTGTTTTGTTTTCGTTTATTTTGATTTTCCATCTTTTCGCGTATTTAGAAATTTCTGTTAGGTTTATCTCCATTTTGTTTTTTGCGTCTTCGAGGTTCCTGCTAGTTTGGATTATGGCTGGGTCGTCTGNACTGTTCAATATATTTAAAAAATATTGTAATATCATGAAATGTTACACAACTATAACAGTAAAATTCCTAATTTAGTTTTATTATTATATCGTCATCGCTATCATTGTTATTATTATTATTTGAATTGAAACGAGACAACACGTCATCAGTTATCTCAAATTTATAGCATCCTCCATTCATTTCAACACATTGGCTTGTAAGTAGAAGCCCGTTGACGGTTGCTGAAACCAATTTATTTCGCGTTTTTGTTTTAATAGAATTTGTGTTTGAAAAAATTCTTTCGCATGCTGCACTTGAATGTGGAAGTGACAGTACAGTAAGTGCAAATTTACACAATTTTTGAAATTAGTTTGTATTATCAATGTCTCTCGATAATGACAACTCTGCCCAAAATTTGTCAGATTCTGTATTCTTGAGATGATCAGGCAATTTCATCATCGGTAATTTTCGCCACTGGTCATAAATCAATTGATAAGTCTGAAAATCGTCAGGATTTATAATTTGAGGTCGTAAAATTTTGTGAATTTTAGCATCACAAAGTTCCTGAAATTCTTGATATTGAGCAATCCTTTTCGATGAATTCTTGAAAAATGAGTGGACTTTACGAGCAAAATCTTCAATGTAGCGCGGGATTTTTTCGCAAGCTTCACTCGCGACGAGATGTAAACTGTGACAGATACATTTTTGTAATGTTATGCCAGGCAACGATTCTTCAAACTTTTGTGCTACAGAGTTATTACTGCCAAACATCACATTACAACTATCACTCGCAAACCCTATTATATTAGTCATTGGCACATTAGCTTTAGTAAAACTCTCTTGAATAGCTCCGAATATGCGTCTCGCTGTGACCCCTTAATTTGCTTCATCAACCTTATCACCAGAAAAAAATTGTACTAAGTTCCAGAATCGAGTCACAATACTTTGATTTTTTCTCAATAAAATCTAACACAAATACACAGAGACTTCACTGCTGAAATATCAGTTGATTCATCCACTATGATATTAAATTTTTGGGTTGTCAAAATCTGTGATAAAAATTCGAAACGGGCTTGACCAATTACGTTTTTGACAATATTTGAAGCTTTCGTCTTTCATGAATACTATGAGCAATTTTCGAATCCGGGTAACAAACTTTGACTTTTGCAATAAGACGGTCGACTGTACGGAAAGCAATATCATGCTCGGCTGAAAATCCGCAAGTACGGATTTCCGCTTCTTTCACTTTGTTTTCAATTTTTTTTTCTCTGGATTTTCATTAATGATGTTACATTGATACAATGTCATTTGGCCGGAACGTAAACCAATTGATTATTAGACGAACTTAACATTAGAGCTCTTTAATGAGTAAAAACTGAGAAAAAAAACTTCTTTCTTTATTCAAGTAATAACCTATTGCACAGTAAAAATACTAAGAAAACTAACTACTGTTGAGATAGAGCTCCACCTATATATTTTTACGTAAAACCATGGTCTACAATACTGGGGGCTATTCAGCCATGATTAAAATTTTCAATTGACAAGTTAACAGACGATTTATGTTTCGCGCTTTTTGTATGGTTTTTAATAACCGTCAATTTTGCAGTCATATTACTGTTGCATATTATCTCCTTTGACAGATGAGAGCCAACCTGAATATACAGGAATTCCTTCCCATTCCATTCGGTAATTTTGTTTTCGGTGGGTTTCTTGGATTGTACTTTCTCCTCTTCCTTTCTTCGTCTTTTCAGGAGTGTTTGAATTTCTCCGTTTCCGTTTTGGTGCATTTGATGACTTCATCACTCCTTCCATTATTTTATAAATAATGTATCACTCCAAATTCTATAAGATTCAAAAAATTATTACTATTTTCTCAATTTTAATCATGAAACTACAATGATATGTTTATTCAATATTACATTGAAAATTATAAGTATAAAGTTGTAACCTCATGATGACGCTTGACGCTAGTGTTAATTATGGCTCCACCTAGTTGAGATTAGTAGAATCATGTATGGCGTCAAACGTCAGCGTCAATCTAAAAAAATAACCAGAGAAAAAATCGCAAGTCGATATCTCGATATTTACTTACCTCTAACCTAATTTTTATAAAAGCACGTGACAGTTGTAAACAAAAAANAGATTAGTAGAATCATGTCTGGCGTCAAACGTCAGCGTCAATCTAAAAAAATAACCAGAGAAAAAATCGCAAGTCGATATCTCGATATTTACTTACCTCTAACCTAATTTTTATAAAAGCACGTGACAGTTGTAAACAAAAAACTACAAAAAATATTAAACATTATAGAAAATTATTAAAATATTACATCAAACATAACTGACTAATCGAAATTTCGATGGCAGGAGATTATGATTATCAATTGTGGATTTATCAGTGCCAAAAAATAATTCGTGAAGCTGAAGGAAAAGAATCAGGCGGAAAAGAATTATTAGTGCTTTGTTATGCAATGAATTAGTTATACAAAATGTAAAAATATTTCTGTTATGATTATTGTTTAGGTTTTAGGTAATGTAATTCGTACATCTTCCAGAATTTCTAGATCTTCATAATCTTCAAAAAGTGACATTTTTATAAAATAAAGAATAAATAGAATCGAAGGTTTAGTTGAGATTTACTTTTAAAATAAACAATAACAGTGTTCCTAATTTTTTCAATATCGATCACTATCGAGTTCGATTATATACATTCTGAATTAATTGTTGATCTTTAAAATAAAAAGCTAATTTGTGTTTAGCTTTTTACGATTTGACGTTGCAAGAGTTTTTTCTAGGTGGCAGCACAGCCTAAATTGATCACGTGATGTGACTTGACGCTCAAAGCTAACGTCAAGCGTCAGCATGAGGTTACACCTTAATTCATGTCTCGAATGAACTACAGAATTAGCTGATCTTGTTAAACGCAGAATGGTACTGGAATAAGCAAATGAAGTTCTACAGTAATCAACGCGAAAAGGTAGTGGACGCCGAACAGCTCGAATGGTACATTAAAATCAAACAAGTTATATAAATCAATACAGAGCATTCGGTTATTGAGTATCGAATGTAAAAATAACAGATCATTAACTTGACGACGTTTTTGAAGAGTATCGAAATTCGAGAGAATTAGTGCAACAGAGTAGTCGTGATCTAAAGGAGACATAGAAAGGTGGTTTTTGTACATAAATAGTCTCAGGAATTTGTGCTGGACGGATTCGATGGAAGATATGGCATCGTCTGTAAATGGCGACCATACCACTGTCGCATATTCGAGCCCAGGCCTGACTAGCGAGGTGTAAAGCGTCTTCACTGTGACTGAAGTATTTAGAGTTTCTTGAAAATCCTGCAAGTCCTCAGCAGAATTTCGTCAATGTGAGTGGTGAAGGAACCATTCGATGAGTACCTGACACCCACATCAACAAAATTGTTATATTTATAANTTTCGCCTTGTCTGTATATCGTTTTTGAATTGTAAGGGAAAAGCTGACAGATACCAATCGCTGTGTTGACATAAATAAAGTATCTCTTTTATTCAGTATAGAAAGCCAAAATGTAACAATAAAACGAGGTAGAGAGTTTCACCAAATTTACTAAGAATCTTGACAAGTTTCGATCACGCCACTCTTATCAAAGGTCAGAGAAAATATAAACTGCATACTTACAACTGATACCTATTCTGTTCTAAAAAGCCCGATATAGTGTTTCTTTAGCGATATATTCTTCAGGTGCTCTTTAATTCTATCATTAATAGTCCTACCACCTTGACCAACATGCAAATTATTTTGTAAGTAAATTTTAATTTACCTACTACTAGTATATTAATTTAGATAGTCTGAAAGTAACTATAGTCGTTTACACCGCCTGAAAAAAAATTGTTTATAGCGCGCCATTACCTATTGAGAGAGATATAATATTAATGTGTAATAAAAGATTGTGTTTCATTTATCTTTAACTGCAGCTTCTCGGAGGAGAACAATTCAAATGTATTTTTTTACATTTACGGACGTTATACAATAGTTAAGCAAAGATTGAATATAACAGACTTTGTAAAAAATGCTTATTAAGCTTACTTCAGAATGAAGTTGTGTTACTAAGATAAACACTGGGTTACGATAAAATATTCCGGTTATGTGTTGAAGTGTTAAGACAGTCTACTTATGGTAAATCAAAGTCATTGTTATTCGGTATGTCTATGTCCAAATTAGAATGCAATTGGAAGTCGGAGTGAAAACTGTTATCAATACGAGTTTGAAAGAAGAAAGTATTGCTTCCACCACTTTACATTGAACTTGGTTTGATCAAACAGTTCGTAAAGGCATTTCGACTTGACCAACGGTGATTATTTCATGTTTAGACATCAAGGTCATGGTCTATATAGGCTTTAAGCATATAAAAAAATCGTAAGGACACAAAAAATTACTTTTTAAGAAAAAAGTCAATTCAAAAATCACGTTTTTTTTGTTTATTTTCGATCTTTCCATGCTTTAATATTGTCGGAGGTATTTTTAACCAACACGATCGAAAAGAGTATCGTTAAAAACACCGAAACACTTGTTATCGAATATTTTTTCGTCGCACTCATTACGTGGCAAGAGTTCAAATGGAAATCTGTTCTCTGAGCATTTCATGGGTTAATGTGACGTGGTATATACCCTATAAATATCGTTTTCTATTACTTTTAAGACAATGACGACAAATGTATTTTATTTTCTTAAATTGATCAATTAACTACTGGACTTTTAATTAAGTACAAGTTAAAAGAAATTTTTTTATTCTTCAATGTAAACATTCATGGTTCATATTAGTCTGTGAATGAGCGAGAAATTAAATATATTCGACAAACAGACTTTGTTGATTAGTTCCATATTTACGGAGTGGGAAAAAACATAAACTGTTATAATAGCCATTTGTTCTATTCATAATAAATTTTATGAAGGTGGAAGAACAACGCATTTCATTCTAGAAATTGAAATTCTCACCCTACAGTGCTTAGCTCATGCATGCGCATTCGTCTCGTTTAATAATTTAATGGCAGGAGCGAATGTCATGGTCCCACAAAATTTTACTATTACAATATATATTTATTTTACAAGCAAGAATTATCGTACGTTTGACGATATCGTACATCGTATCTGAAATCAGATTATCGTATGTTCCCATAATTATCGTACAGGTTGGCAACGCTGATCGGCGGCTAAAGTACCGGCGACTGGGTTCGCTATCACTCTCGCTTCCTCAAACGTTACGTGCTTGTATGTGTCACCAAACATCCTGTTCTAGACTATGTGATGCACTAGAATCCGCCTTGATCTACTTCAGTAATACCCAACATAATATGCACATAAAAAATTGTTGTCGCGAGGTCGTGGAATCAATTAGTACTAGAATAAGGAGAATTTCCATTGAAGATTCCAGAGCGTTCATCGGCCAATTTTCTGGAAGTTTCCATCGGCTGCAAGAAACCCTAGCAAGTGATATACTGTTGGAAAGCTCTTGGAGAGAGAAGCAAATAATCTGACGTCATTAAATAATATCATGGAAATTTCTGAAATTTTTCATTGGCTATGAGAAATCCTAACAAGTGATACATTGTTGAAAAGCTTTCTAAGAGAAAAGAGAGAATCTGACGTCATTGAAGAATTTTATCGTTGGAAGTTTCCATTTGCTGCGAGAAATCCTAACAAATGATACATCGTTGGAGAGCTCTCGAACAGAGAAGAAAGAACTGAAGAATTTCTTCGAACTTTCTGGAAGTTTCCATTTGCTACACATACCACTATTCTTCCTGGCTTTCGTAGGTCCGTCATTTATCAGACAACTGGAAGAACATCGGCAAACGTTTTATTCGGAAATAACTCAGGTTGCCAACGGACATGCTGTTTGATCGCCCTGAAGACTCTATAGTACAGTGGTTCCTAGCCTTTTAAATATTGTTACCCCTGTGTCCTATTAGGAAAACTGATTTTACCCCGACCTTAAAATGTTATCAATACAAACAACACAAGCAAATACAAATATCTTTAATAATCAGAAATTGCACATCAGTCTTACA